TGGAATACATGTCACGCTAGTGAAAGACTCAGATACCTTTCAAAGTATCGACTTGCCGTCATAAGACCCACCCCCGGTTGCCAACGCAAAGGGGAGGGCAGGGCTCTTCCCTTGTTTTTCGTCGGGGGAGGGGGAGAGGCAAGGGTCACAAGCTGACAACTGACCCCCATCTAGAGTCGAATAAAACCCCGAACGTCGGAATTATTCGGTCCAAGAGGTGACAGTCTTAAATATGAGAGATTACGCCCAAAAACTCACCGGGTGGACAAGAAACCAAGTTACTTTACGTTACACGGAATGGTATATAAAATTACCACCGCGTTTGAAACAGTAAAATCTTCGAAGCTTTTAGAATACGATGGGTAATTTTTAAGCGTGACAATGACATCGAAGTAATAAGTTTAATAAAAATAACAAAAGAAAATTCAATAACTTCACGTGAAGCCAACAAAAACTTCGTTATCTTGAGATGGTAACAGCCGGTATTTTACCCACATGGAATTACAACCCTGAAGATGAACATCATCTTCAGTTTCCGGAGAGCCTAAAATCTCATATAGCGAAGTTTAATAATTATGTATCACGGAATCTGAATACGCGAACTGTGGACATGAGGACGTCTTGCGTCCGGTGGGGTGAGAAGAAGTGGACAGACGTCCTGGAGCCTCTGGCCGTCGATTGATCGTCCTGGGGGCGGAAGAGAGGGGAAATACTGCGGCTCGAATGCAACACTCGAAGTAGGTGGAAGGGCGGGGCATGTTTTGACGGTAACGAATGCATGTCATTTGAGTCAAGATCGAGGTTTTCTTCAGGAAAATTCTTGATACAAACGCCGAAAGGAATAAAATTACCCTGTAGAGTGTAGACATCTGACAGAAATTTAGAATTTATACTCACGCATAAAAGGGGGTTAGAAGAAACTATGACCACGTGATTATCAAATGCTTGGAGAAACCAACCGCCTCAGTCTTCAGGGTAGACGTTCATCTGTGTCTGACGAATTAATTACACGACCACGCGACGTCATAATCTAGGTTTTCGCCGCTGTGCAAACCTCGAAACTCGTGTCAATTCTTTAATTTCATTTTGTACACTCCGTGCAAAGAGTTCATAACGAAGATACGAGGTTTTAGTGTGAATACTGGACCAGAATTTCGGAATATTCTTTGCTGGAAGAACCACAGATGTCCTCATCGGCCAGATCGTGACATTTCTTCCTCGAATCAAGCCACAGACAAACATGACGAAGTGACTGAGATATCAACACACAGCATTCCCGCAGACCTATCGCGATGTTCCGCGCCCACCCTAGAGTCCCGTCGCCTAAGAGAAATCCAAATCCATGACGTCAAGGTACAGAGCCCTTACAGAGAAGTTAACATGGCGGTTACCTCGTCAAGAAACTCCTTGTCCCTTATGCAACCTGAACGTCCATTACCGTGTTCACAACAGACCTTAACCGGTCCCCATCCCGAGCCTGATGAACCAAATCCACACCTTCCAACACTCTCCCCTGAGATACATTTTAATATTATCCCATTTACGTCTCGGTTATCCCGAGTCGTCTGGAATTTAGAAATTTCATTCCACACGCGCGCTACATGCCTCGCCCATCTCATGTTCCTTGATTGTGAGCATCCTAATATTTTCTTAATAGTTACAATGGGATGAGATCCTCATCGAGGAATTTCCTACACCATTCAGACACTTCATTCCTCTCAGGTCCAAAATATTCTGCTCAGCAGACAAAAAATGTACAGTTTAATGTCGAGTTTTCGTGACGGCAATTTCCTCTTGTCACTTTATGAAGAGTTTTAAGCACAGACACTAAGGCGATAGGCGTCAAAGTCTCTTATTCTGTAGCCAGGAATAGCCACACCACGAAACAGATCGATGTTTGATGTCGGATGAGTCACGCAATGCGCCAAGACTGTACGAAAACCACCAATTCTCTTACGGACAGCTACAAGTCTGCACGGGCCTAAATTTTTAGAATTTCAACTCCCTGAACATCGAGGCAGTATGTTCCTACCGAAACGCTGGAACTTCCGCTTAAGTCCGCACGGCGTTGTCGCCCCCCAGAAGGCGACATCGACGTCACAACCGATGAGAGCCTCCCTCCCCTCTTTGAATTCGCTCCCTACCTGAGCCTCTCCCAGGCCGAGGTCGATCATGTCCAGCGATTTCTGGACGAGGCCCTTCTTCTCCTCCACGACGCTGCAGTCGCCGCTGTTGACATTCGACACCGTCAGCTCGAGGCTTGAAGTCAGGCCGTTCAAGATGGAGTTATGTTCGTTCTTCAGAGCTTCCAGACCCTGAACGACCGTCTTGGTGTTCGCCATGATCTCTTCCTGGGTCATCTGCGTCATTTTGCCGATACACTCGATCTTCTTCCTGCAACAAGACAGAACACAAAGCCTTCCGTGACGTCACTTCCATAATCACACATGTCTCTTGGCTAACCTCAGTATTTCCTGTAACATCGGAATCACAATCAAAATATTACGAAATTCGTCGAACTAATCCTGAAATAAAGTAGGAAATACGAGATCAAATATTGGCATTCCAGAAAGACACGCGCTTGCCACATTCACAAAATACAGAGACGTGACCTCAAAATTAATTAATTCGTCACTGAAGATACTATTATGAAACTGAGCCCAGAACGAGTCAACCAACGACCCCTAGTTCCTTTTCCCCCCCGGGTAGCTTCACGATGTCGAAGACGCACGTCGACTTGGTATTAACAAAATCGGACAATAATATTTCTGGCAAAAGTTTACGATCTTCGGGACAAAATTTCTTCGGATGACGGCAATACGTTCATGATTAACGTGAGAAAACCTTACGGAAAAATGCCACACGGAAGATCCAGAGGCAGGTTCGCCACAGAAAACAGTTCCACGAACCAGATTACGTAACATAAAACGTAATCAGTGCGTCCACTTCCTGGGGGAGACTGTTCACGGAGGATGAATGCGACCTGAGAGATCTGATTTTCCAGACATGGTTCTCGTGGACGAACACCGTTATCGGTATGGTTCCTATGAAACGCCACTGACTATCGCAGGCACAAAACCGTGAAAATAAGCCACGATCGGGAATTTCACAGCAGATTTGAGACTTTCGCGGCGAGTACAATCAACAAAATCTTCTCGAGCAATCAGCCGCGTCAACTGGTTACCGTAGTAAACCGACGTTTCGGGAAGCAACTCGGAAGCCCGAGGTATCCAGTCACATCAGAACCCTGATGATGGGGACAGAGTTGGTTCCCGAAACGTCGGTTTACTACGGTAACCAGTTGACGCGGCTGATTGCCCGAGAAGATTTTATTGGATAAAATTATCTTTCAACAGAAACGACAAGGCCAAACAATCACTTCAGCAATCGTCGCTGCTTGCGTAATATCCACAAAGGACTTCCGGCTTTTCGGACTCCAGTGAGACAACTGGTTCCGGTCACACAAACCATTCATTCGCTTGAGTTCCCACAGAAAATCTGCACAACGCAATGACGAGTCACATTTTTTAAAGCTAGGCGATGACTGGGACGGTGAGAAGTCTTTCAGAGCAATCAGCTGTGTGACCATGGCTAAAGGCAAACCCTGATGATGGAGGCAGAGTCTCCGAAACACTGGAAACCAATTTCATGCTTACAAGATTTTTACATCTGATATGGGGCACGTAACTGCCTACCAGGAGAGAAGGAACGACGACAATTAACAGAACAGAATCCTTAAGAACCTACCAGTACACTAAGCTACTCAACACATGTAAAGCATTTTACAATGGCCCACCACCGGTCCCTATCCTAAGCCACACGAATCCAATCCGCACCCTCAACCCATACTTCAAGACCCACTTTAATATTATCCCCCGTCTTGCGAATACTCTATTCTCTTCGGGCTATCGAACAAAACTTTTGTGCTCATTTCCTATTTCCCCAACGCCCTTCTCAACCTCCTCGATTTGGTCATCTTAATAACTGGCGAAGCACCTCACTGAAGTAACAACCACGGAAATCATGAAATTCTAAAGCAGCAGCGACCGCCTCAAACCGAGAGCAGTGACGTCACAGGGTAGCCACCCATGCATGCAACACTCCCCCCTCCCCCAAATCTTCACCCCCGGCGTACTTTCCTGCCATGTTTCTATCCGCACTTCGTTCAATGTGGTATTGATCCGAGAGGGTCTGTCCGCGCTGTAGTCACGAAAACAACCCTTACCACCTCCTCGGAACCCACACCTTCAACAACCCCAAACACTGCCAACGAAATGCAAATATGAGAGTCTACAATCTGGGAACGACGAATTACCTGTCAGTACGATTGACCAGGTAAAAACATCGGTACAATATAAGTACACCAACTAAAGTTCACACAAAGCTCAGATCGGACTTAATCGATTTTCTAACAAAAGGCTCATCGCTTGAAACTTTAGCACAAGTAAAGCTGTCCACAGACGACTGTCTTCTGAGCCTGCCTGAGTTTATTCATCGCCCTGATGATGGAAGGAACAAATACCTCCGAAACGTCGGTAAACTTCTACCAGACTAAGCGACACTACAACCTAGAAGACAGCCGTCTTCAAAATCACCTCAAATCCTACTAAATTTGTCCAAGTACACGCCAAGGAGGCGTTTGTGGGGAGAGGTCATACAGCTTCTTCGCAACCAAATATCAAGAATGGATTGACAGATGAATCAGGAGCTCCATACAAGACCTAATCGCCTCGTAAATGTTCCTTTTGAAGACTCAGCCTTTATCAACTTTGGTAATTCTCGTAGTAATCACCCTTTACATCCCTGAAAAAAGCGCCCATATCACCCAATGGACGTGATCACAACACACACTTTATTGACGATTCAATTATATCTCCGACGCTGGGCTTAACCAAGGGCAATGATGTCATATTTGTCTGCAGGATGTGCAAACAAACCCCTGGCAATAACATAGAAGTGCCTTGGTACTTCAAATGACAAGCAAAATCTCGCGGTAACATTAACTTTGTGTGTATTTGTCCATGCCAAAGCAAACTTCGTCACAGTTCAAAGGATTACACTGTGATGCGTGCATTTATATACGTAGTTCTCTCTTGTCAGCCGAACCTGTCTACGACGGTCTGTCGCGCTGATTTCTGGCAGAGTGCGCTGGGGTAGCGGGATTTTGATTTCACCCCCATCTAGTGCCGAGGTCAAGAATGAGTAGGAGCTATACCACCCCTATCAAATTCCTGCCCCATTTCAAAAACAATATAAATCAGACGATATCAGTTAACTCTTTGAAATCGAACCTCTTCCAAGTATTTAAGACGCTAATTAACCTTTGGAGCCGAAGCTCTTTCAAATGAAACTTAAGAATTCAGTCCGTACCGCGAAGAAAACACTACACTTCACCATTACAAAGACCAACTGGTTAACCTTGTTTAAGGAAATAATACGACTAAAACGCTAATTAACCTTTGGAGCCGAAGCTCTTTCAAATGAAACTTAAGAATTCAGTCCGTACCGCGAAGAAAACACTACACTTCACCATTACAAAGATCAAATGGTTAACGCTGTTTAAGGAAATAATCGCTGTTTACAGTGAAAATCGAACGAAACACAAAAATACATTGTGGACAAAATGCAGAACTGCTGATTATTAAAGTATGCGATACATAGTCATAAATTGGGCACAAGATGCCAAAGGAAGACGCCCACAAAGCAACATGGTAGTGCAGAAGGGCCCACTGGGGGGGGGGACACCTTGCGTGCCTCAGAGTGAGTGCTCCTCAAACAAAGACCTGCAAATAAGGAGCTCAAAGTTTTCCGCAGACACGCCAACCTCTCTAGAATACAGTCTCGTGACTGTATTAAAGTCTCAGGCCGCGCGTTCTGAAATTAAGACGAATTCCCTACAGTGGATCCACGCACCTTTACATTCGCGTACATTTTCCAAATGGCCATTGCTTTTTGCAAACATGAATCGGATTCATATTAATTTGTTGCTGGTACAAGTTCACGACTACAGAGATAACACATATCTGACGCTGCATGGACCTAGAAATCGCGTGTTCTTGTAATGCGCCAAACACTCACGACAGCAAAACAGAGAGTGGACGGATGCTCCGTGAAACAGCTTAAAAAAATTCGAAAGAAACGATTATTTATTTTTAAATTGCCTCTACCATAAATTGCGTAACTCGTCCCACGAGCAAAATTACGAAGTTCGGCGTTTGTTCACCAAGAGTTTCACCGTAAGTTTGGGGGAACAAAAAATGGCGTACGATGCAAGACGAATGAGGGCATTTCCTTTAAAAGCGTAGTTATTTCCGCTGACTGAAACGACTGTCCTTCAAGTTGTTACAATGGTGATTTTGCAAAGAACAATAAAAACGACACGACCATATTATGCAACTAATACCAGGAGCAGAGCACAGCGAATTCTGGGCGATATTACCTCACACGCTTCTTAATTGGACAGCTTCACACTTGAAGCACGTCGTGGTATTAATAACAGCTTGGTTTAATAACGCAATATTAGATCTCCGGTGTCTCTCGTTCATACCCTTGAAGTTCCGGGACGCTGTCAACACCAGATCAGTAATTACGTAACAAATCATAATGAAAAAAGTACGATTTACAATGGCGTTCTTTACGTTAGTCACAACTTAACTAAAGCAATACAATGGAGAAACAGTGAAACGTGTTAATAACTTACACACGATAGGCATTGATGGTCTTGGACATAGTGTGACAACTCCAGGAGTTCAGTGCTTCAACATCGGCACTTTAAAGCTACTCGTCGTCGTCTGAAGCGAACAGAAGCAGCGAGACATTGCACAGAAACTCCTCTCAGAGAGTCTGAAAACAGACGGCACTAACTCACGATTCACGTAATGACCCTCGATTAATTACTGTACCGTTCAGTGTTTCACAGATGTCACATGTGCATAATTCAGAGCCCAAATTCAATATTTATTACGACTTCCTGAGATCGCAGAAGTTTCAAATTGAACGTACTAAATATGTCACACAAGTGTCATCCTAAGCGATGCACTTGTGACGTCACAAATAAACATGACACTACACTTGAGGTGATACTTTAACACGCATCACGCATAAAAATATCAAGTAATATTAATATCCATATACTTCTCTTTCAAACGAAGAAAATTATATCTATTCACTACTAGGAGAAGCCTTTCTTTGATTAGTGTGATGCATCCGACACTAATATAAAATTACAAGCACTGATAGGAACCAAACAACACACCCCCAGAAACTCTACTCCGACACTGACACAGCCGTCCGTCCACCTTACACCCAACTCCGAATTAATACGAAGCTTCCACCCCCTCCGCTGCACGCCAACCACCGGAGTCAAAACAGAACTACCCCACTGCACAGCGAGA